GGTATATAGAAATGGTAAAATGGTATGTATGTGTGTGTATGTGTATATATGTGTGTATATATATATATACATACATACATACATACATGGTATATAGAATGGTGTATATATGGTATATAGAAATGGTATGTATGTATGTATGTGTGTATATATATGTGTGTGTGTGTATATATATATATATATTATATAGTATATGGTATATAGTATAGTATATTTATATGGTATATATATATGGTATATAGAAATGGTTTGTATATATATATATATATATATACACACACGTGTGTGTGTGTGTGTGTGTGTGTGTGTGTGTGTGTGTATGTGTATATATAAGAAAACAAATATATAATATTATACATACATATATATGGGATTCAGCTTTGTTCGGATGTTTTCCCACGATCTGCTTGGAGAGGGGGCCGGAGGGTTGGACTAGATGACCTCCAAGGTCCCTTCCCCTTCTGTTAGGCCTGCCCGCCTTCTCTCTGCGCCAAAATGGGCCTTTTCCAGCGCGGCAGCCTCCTTGGCTCGCTTTGCCTCGCTCTTACCCGCGCAACCCCACCCACCCCGCGTGGCGTGGGACTCCCCACGGCCCCTTTGCAGTCCCCACCCGACTCCCCCCTCCGTGGTGGGGGAGGGGGAGGAAAGAGGGGAGGGGGAGTTGGAGACCCCCTCGCGCGCTCTCTCTCTCTCTCTCTCTCGTCCCCGGGAGGCTTTTTTGGGGGAGTGGGGAGGCGAGGCGCCCCCTGGTCTCGCGTGGGGGGGGGGCGGGGGTGTCCCCGCACCTTGAGCAGCGCCCCGGGCCAGACGCGCACGGCGCCCTGGTTGAGCAGGTGGCGCACGGCCAGCTCCGGCCGGTGCTCCAGGCGGTAGGGCGCCCCCTGGAGGGCGTTGTGGAGCGCCGTGTTGCCGCTGTAGCTCATGACGTTGACGCGGGCGCCGTGGGCAAGGAGCAGCGCCACCACGCGTGGGTTGCCTTGCTTGCAAGCCTGGTGCAACGGGCGCTGGAGGTCGCGGTCGGCGGCGTTGACCCGGGCGCCGGCTTCCACCAGCTCCTTGCACACCTCGTAGTAAGGCGCCGCCGCCTGCGCGGAGTGCGGCAGGGCGCAGGCGGCGAGGAGCGGGGTCTCCCCTTCGGCGTTTCGGGCCTCCAGATCCGCGCCGTAGCTCAGGAAGAGGCGCAAATGCTCGGGCAAGCCCAGCCGAGCCGCCACGTGGAGCGGCGTGTCGCCTTCTTCCTCCGACGCGCAATTCACCGGGGCCCCGTGGCGCAGCAGAAGGCGGGCGCACCTGCAAAACAAGCCGGAAAGGAGGTCACGCCGAGCCCGTCCCCCCAAAAAAACCTGGAGCCCCATCCCCTGGCTCTGGGGATCCCCCTGCCCGCTTTCTTTCCTCCCCGCCCCCGCGCAAGGAAAGGCGCGTCTCCCCGGATTCTTGGAGTTGGTGACCTTGGAGAGCTCTTGCGCACCTCCTGCGCGGGGACTCTTTGGAGTGGATGGAAGAATGGGGTCTCCTCTGGATTTGGGGGGGGCGGTCATCCAAAAGGGGGGAGACCAGACCCCCTTTCTCCCACCCACCCCGCCTCCTAAAGGCGACGCTGCGCGCCCATTTTTACGCAGCGCTCCCACCTCGTTCTCTGCCTAACCCTCGGCCCGGAGCACAGGATAGCGTGTGGATCCGGGCCCTTAGGGCTTGCCCGCTACTCTGCACCGAGAGAGAGTGGGTAGGTGGGCAAGGAGGAACTTCGGGGTTCGGGGGTGCGGAGGGGAAAAGGCCGGAGAGAAGCCGCGCTCAATTCTTGCGCGCCGTCGTTTCTCCTCCCTTCCCAAAGCGAAGGGAAAAAGGCCGAACCAGCTCGCCAACGGAACTACTAAACTCCCTGCGCGACCGGAGTTGCGTCCTATCCAAAGACAGGATAAAAAAAAATCATGAAAGGCCAAAGGAGGAGGCCGGAGGAGGAGGAGGAAGAGGAGGAGGAGGGACGGAATGAAAGGCGAAGGACACAAAATGGATTCTAGGTTGTTGTTATTTTCCTGATTTTCAATCGTGACATTTTTACATCGAGATGAGAAATAAAAAGACCAGGCGGCCTAGGAGGCCGTTGGGGATCGATCCTATCCCTGCGATGCTGAACCAAAAGTTAGGTCCAGACCGAATGGACTATGTTCAATGTCTTGAATTGTTTTGGTCCAGATTTTTTTTTTCATAATTATGTTGGAATTGTTCCATTGGCCTGCAGAGAATGGTCCCGTTGGCGAGTTGTTGTTTATTATTATTATTATTATTATTATTATTATTATTATTATTATTATCATCATCATCATTATCATCGTTATTATTGTCATTATCATCATCGTATTATTATTATTAGTATTGGTATTATTAGTATTGTTAGTGTTATTATTGCTATTGTTATCATTATTGCTATTGCTATTATCATTATTGCTATTGTTATTGTGATTATTATCATTATCATAATTATCTTCGTTATTGTTATTGTTGCTATTGCTATTATTGTTATTGTTATTATCATTATTATCATTGTTATCGTTATCATATTATTATTATTATTATTATTATTATTGTATTATTTTATTAGTATTATTAGTATTGTTAGTGTTAGTATTATTATTGCTATTGCTATTGCTATTATCATTATTATTGCTATTATAGTATTATTTTATTAGTATTAGTATTATTAGTATTGTTAGTGTTATTATTATTATTGCTATTGTTATCATTGCTATTGCTATTATTATCATTATTGCTATTGTTATTGTTGTGATTATTATCATTATCATAATTATCTTCGTTATTGTTGGTATTGTTATTATTGTTATTGTTATTATCATTATTATCATTATATTATCATAATTATCATAATTATCATAATAATTATTGGTATTATTATTATTATTGCTATTGTTATTGCGATTATTATTACTATTATCATTATTATTGTTATTATTGCTATTATTGTTATTGTTGTCATTATCATCATCATTGTCGTCATTTGTGGCCATTTGTCCCATTCGGACACCAGGACCGGCTGGAGGATTTGGGGGGGGGGGGCTGGACGAGAGCCCTGGGACAGCTCCCCCTCGCGGCCTCCGGCCATTTCTTGCCCCCCCAAAAACACTTTCCAGGAAACACGGGAGTGGGTTGCATCGCTTGCGCCGGCCCCACCCCTTCCCTTTGGATCGCTCTTGCGCCTCTCTCAGGCTCGCCAAGCGCCGGCCCCTGGGAGAAGCCAGATCCCACCCACCCACCCCCAAAAACAGGATCCGCGCAGGATTTGGGGGGGGGCACGGATCCATTGGATCCGCCTGTGCCTTTTTTTTTTCTGCGTCCTTGGGTTTCAAGCAGGCCCAAAAGGCGAGGGGGAACCTCACGGGCGGCGCCTTCCACGCCCCCAAAAACCCGCCCCGTCCCACCTCCGCGCCAGGGCGCCTCCTCCGAGGGGCTTTGCAACCGGGAGGAGCCGCTCCTCGCTTTACTCACTCGCTCGAGCCGGGGCTCCGGCAGAGGTGGAGGGGCTGGCAGCCGCCTTCGGAGACGGCCCCGGGGTCAGCGCCGAAGGCGAGGAGGAGGCGGGCGCAGTCGGCGGCCCCGGCCGCGCAAGCCGCGTGCAGGGCCGTCTGCCCGCCGGGCGCCAGATCCACCCGGGCGCCGCGCGAGAGCAGGTGGCGCAGGCACTCCAGGTAGCCCCGGCTGGCCGTGATGTGGAGCGGCGTGGTCGGCTCCTGCTCGTAGGTCAGCGACCAGACTCCTGCGGGGGGGGGAGGAGGAGAGGGAAGGGCGGAGGAGGGGAGGTTGGCCTAGATGACCTCGGAGGGTCCCTTCCAAAGCTGCCCCCGCCCACTCCCCCCCCCACTCCGCGCTCTCCCTCCCTCCCGGCCCGCGCCCCCCTCTCCATAGATCCGATGCGTAAAAATGGAGAGTGCGCGCCCCCCTCTCCCCTTTTTACGCATCGGATCTATGGAGAGGGGGCCGCGCTGGAGCGATCCTGTTGCCCACGCGTGGGAGTGGATGGGGGTGTCCAAGACGCTGTTGTGGGGGGGGGTTCCACGCCGCCAGGCAGCCGAGAACGGGAGGGGGGGGGCGCCCTGGCCGGCCAAACAGGGCCTGCGCCCCTCCCCGCGCGGCCCTCTGCGCGTCTAGATGCGCTCCATGGGGCGCGCGCCTCTTTCTTTCCCCACCACCCACCCGCGGCCGTGGCCCTTCGCTCCGGTGGGGAGGGGGCACCTGGCCTGGGCCGGCGGGGAGGAGGGGAGGGGAGGGAAGCCTCCCCGGGCGGCCAAAGGTGGATTCCTTGGAGAGCCCCCCACCCCCCACCCCGCCTATTTCCCAGGACATCAATCCGGGCCGAGATGGACAGCGGTTGGGTGGGGGGGTTGATTGATTTTGTTATTTTTATTGGTTTATTTTTCTTTATTTCTTTGTTTATCAAGCGATTACAAGATAAGAGGTAGAAGGATAAACATGGTTATGAATCCATGGCTAGATATAAGAAAAAGAAATAAAAGAAGCAGTAGGACAGGGACGGTGTAAGTATAAACATGGTTATGAATCCATGAAATGGGTGCATATAAGAAAAATAAAAGAAACACTAGGACAGGGACGGTGGGCCCGTTGGTGCGCTTATGCAGGCCCCTTTCAGACCTCTGAGGAAAGGGGTGAGGTCCATAGTAGACAGTCTCAGGTGAAAGTTTTTGGGGTTTGGGGAAGAAACCACAGAGTCAGGTAGAGGATCCCAGGCTGTAGTGCTTGGTCACCAGGTAAGTCAGAGCCAGTATTTTTATTATCATTATTATCATCATCATTATTATCATTATTATTAATTAAATCTTTAGTGAGATTCACAGCCTTTGGGGCTGGTTGGTAGCTCAACAGCTGGAGTCCTAACCCAGGACCTGGGAAGCGCTCAGGTAGCGTCAGAGGATATAAGCTGTTCCAGGTACGGAGGCTTTGGGTAGAACCAGGGTATTCCAGACTTATCCCATTCAGGATTTCCAAATAGTGAGGCGGCTCCAATTACAAGTGGGGTCACGCACCACATCATCACCATTATTATTATTTATTATTATTATTAATTATTAGTATTATTCTTATATCATTATTATATTATCATTACATTATCATTATTATATGTATTATTATCATTATTATATTATTATTATATTATTATATTATCATCATTATATTATCATTATCATCATCATTATTATATTATCATTACATTATTATCATCATCATTATTAGTTATTATTTTTATCATTATTGTATTTATTATTATATTTATTATTTTTATCATTATTATCATTATATTATTATTTTATTTTTTATTATTTTATCATTATTGTTGTATTTATTATATTTATTATTTTTATCATTATTATCATTATATTATTATATTTATTATTATTATTTTTACTATTATAAATATTAATAAGAATCATTTTGATTTTGAATGATTCCATCAAAGCCTTCAAAGGGTCCCCCCCCCCCACAAGTTTGCCGTTGGGGGGAGTTTTCCAGATTCCAGACTTCACAAGCCTGGGAAGGGCCCTTGGATGTCATCTAACCCCCCCCCCCCCCCCCCCCAAAAAAAAGCAGGAGAGATCCGACACTGGGGTTGAACAAGGCCCATTTCGGCCAGCACCCTGAACCATCCCGCTCGTGTGTGTCCCCCCCCCGCCCGTCCCTTCTCTCTTACCCCATTTGTGGCTGGTCCAGCGGAGGTCCTGGCTCTGGGCGTGGATGAGGAGGTTGACGGCGGAGCGTCCGGAGAAATGGCGCTGCACCTCCACCAGGTTCCCCGTGTAGAGGGCGTTGTGCACCACGGGGTCCCGGCACTCTAGCAGGGCCTCCCTGTTCTCCAGGGTCTTGGCCATTTCGGCGGCCTCTCCCCCCCCCCCCGCCCTGCTCAGCCAGGCCCGGCCTCCTCCCGCTACTCCTGGAAGGAAGGGGAAGCGTGGCCCAACTGTCCTGGAGGAACAGCGGCCCTGCAGCCGGCGCAAAGCCTCTCCTTGACCCTGACGCGGCCTCTTTAAATAGCCCCTTGTTTTGGGCAGCCGTCCCGGGATCCTCTGCCGGTGAAGTCAGGGGGGGGGGGCTGCCCAAAATATATTCCTGTTTTGCTGCCGAGGCAGAGCCTGCCTTCCGTGCCGAGCCTGGACTCCGGACAAGCCATTGGAACGAGGGGGTTGGGGATTCGAGCGGGAGCGCGCCTTTCGAACGTGAGGCTCTGCCGGGACAATGCGGAAGGGGGGGAGCCATTTTGGGCTGCCGGGTCGGCTCAACCGGGGTGAACCAGTAAGCCCTTTCACACACATACACACACACACACACACACATACACACACACACACGCCGCTTTCGGAAGTTTGCGGGACGCTTTGTCCCTGGCGGCTTTCCGGCGGAGGACTGAAAGCCTGATGCTTGGGGGAGGCTGGGGTTGGGCTAGATGACCTCCGAGTGCCTTGATCCGGCAAGCGGCGAGCCGGGGAAACCACAAGCGCTTCCAGGCAGAGAGAGACACACGTCCATCGCAGTTTCTCTCACCCTCCGGTTTATGAAGCGGAGCCACCCTGGGGGGTGGGGAAAGGAGGGAGGGAGGGAGGGGGGCTAACCACGTTCACCCCCATCCCTTGTGCCGCTCAATCGTGGTTTGAAGGCAGAAGGAGTCGTCCGTTCGTCCGAGCGATCTTTGAGCAGCCCGGCTGGTTTCTTCTCGGGGAGGTTTCCTCGTTCGTCTTTCTTTTCGGGGGGCTATTGGGAGCGCCTGGGCTTTTACGTTCCCCTTTCCAAAGTTCTCAAGTTGTGGTTGTTGTTGTTTTTTTCCGGCGGGGATTTTTTTTCACCACGTGGAATCCGAATTTATGAAAATTGGCTCTTGGAAACGTCCGGGACGCCGGGGTCCCGGACTTTCTACCGCGGGCGTTTGCGTGAGGTTGGATTCTAGGACGACGGGGTGTTCCCCCCGCCGTCCCGGACGATCCCCGCGGCCTCGGTCCTGCCCCACACACAGCCCGGCAAGGGGGAAGCGGGTCCTGCCGAAGGCCCCCTCCGCCCCATCCCGCCAGCCCCAGGCCTCCCGTCGAGTAGCCGCTGAGGTTGATGGGGGTCCTTGGCTCCTCCTCCCCCAAAAGAGGGGCCGCTCCACGGGGTCTTGGGAGCAAGGCAACCCCTGCCACCCACCCACACACACAGGGCTTGTGACAAGCCGGGTGGGGCTCCCCCCTCCCCTCCCCTCCCCTTTTTTTTGGGGGGGGAGAAACTACCCCCCCCACACACACACTTTCAGCCAAATCCAGACGGGACCAAGAGATTCGGCAGCTTCGGAGTCGAGTCACGAGGGGGAAAACGCTGAGGTGAGGAAGAGGAGGAGGAGGAGAAAGAGGAAGAAGAGAAGGAGGAAGAAGAGAAGAGAAAGAAGAGAAAGGAAGAGGAGGAGAACAAAGAGGAGGAAGAGGAGGAGGAAGAGGAAGGAGGTAGAGGAAGAAGAGAAAGAAGAGAAGGAGGAAGAGCAGGAGGAAGAGGAGGAGGAGGAGGAGGAGGAAGAAGAGAAGGAGGAAGAGGAAGGCAGAAGAGGAGGAAGAGGAGGAAAAAGAGAAAGAAGAGAAGGAGGAAGAAGAGAAGGAGGAAGAGGAGGAGGAAGAGAAGGAGGTTGAGGAGGAAGAAGAGAAAGAAGAGAAGGAGGAAGAGGAGGCGGAGGAAGAAGAGGAGGCGGAGGAAGAAGAGGAGGAGGAGGAAGAAGAGGAGGAGGAAGGATTGCGGGGTCTTCGGTGTCCTCCGAGCTTAGTCGTTTCCTTCCGGGCGTGTCTGGGTGGCTCAAGGTGGCCCGTGAGGGCATTGGCCTTTGGGACTCCCCTCCCTCCAAGAGCCCCCTCCCTCCCCTCCCCTCCCCTCCCCAAAGCCAGCACAAGGGACAAAGGCAGGGCGGAGGTGCCAGGGTTCCTTGTTCACGTCACCCGACCCCTCCGCCCTCCGCAGAATCGCGCCCCCGTGGTCGCCAGGCGGAGGGCCTTCACTTCTTCCGCCCCGGCTTCTGCTGGCCTTCGGCCGCCGGGACGCTCCTCTCCTCCTCTTCCTCCTCCAGCTTCCTTCGGCCCAGCGGCGTTTTGTCATACCAGTCCTGTCGGAAGACACCAAACGGGCACCTTCACCCGGCGGGCGGCTGGACGGGGGCCCCTCGCTAAGACTCCATGCCGTTCAGGAGAAGCCCCAAATCCCACACCGGGCTGGCCCCGCCCCACCCCTCCCCGCCCAGGGCTCCCCACGGGGCTGGTTTGGGGTGCAGGGAAGTGCAGGGCACCTGCAGAGGCTCACGGGTGGGGGAGGGAGAGGCGCCCAACTAACGGGCCTCCCAGTAGTTTAGCCAGGCCAGAAACGGGGCCTTTTTCTGGCTTCCGGACAGCCTCCGGATCCCACGGAGGCTGTATTGGCCTTTGAGAAAAGCCTCCGGAGTGTGGGGAAGGCAAAATTGCCCCCTTCCTTCCTTCCTTCCTCCTCTTCTCCTTCCTTCCTCCTCTCTTTCCTTCCTTCCTCCTCCTCTCCTTCCTTCCTTCCTTCCTTCCTTCCTCCTGGGTGAAGCAGGAAGACAGCGAGGAGAATCCCAGAACAGCTGATGGTAGGAACAGCTGATCGTCCTCTTCTTCCTTCCTCCTCCTCTCCTTCATTCCTTCCTCCTCCTCTCTTTCTTTCCTTCCTTCCTTCCTTCTCCTCTCCTTCCTTCCTTCCTTCCTTCCTTCCTTCCTCCTGGGTGAAGCAGGAAGACAGCGAGGGGAATCCCAGAACAGCTGATGGTAGGAACAGCTGATCGTCCTCTCCTTCCTTCCTCCTCCTCTCCTTCCTTCCTTCCTCCTCCTCTCTTTCTTTCCTTCCTTCCTTTCTTCCTTACAAAAAAACCAAATACCCCTTACCGGTCGCCTTTTTTTGACGCCGGGTTCACCCGTCCTGCTTTAAAGGAGGAGAGGCTGGCGGAGAACGAAGGAAGGCGGCACGGACCGCCCCTCCGAAAGTGGGGTGGGCGGGTGGTTGAAGAGGGCCACGGGGCTTCCTTCATCGGGGCTCCTCATTTTTACCGACTGCGCCCGAGTCGTCCTCGAGCCGGCCGGGATCAAATGCCCGACGGTGGGCAGAGCGAGGCTGCGCTCTATCCCCTGGGCCACGCTTCCCCGAGGCTAGGAGCGAGGCGGGGAGGGAAGGGGGTACCTGGAGCAGCTCCAGCTCCTCGGGGTAGATGGGCTCGGCCCGTCCCAGCATCTGCAGGAGCTCGGCGGCCAAGAGGGCTTTCTTGGGCAGCTGCAGGACGCGGCGCTCGGTCAGCACCAGCTTCACCGCCTGCGCCAGGCTGCCTTGGCTGTAGCCGTCCGAGACCTTGGCCAGGGCACTGAGGTCCAGGCTGCCGGTGACGGCCCCGCCGTGTGGTGGTCTGACATTTGAAATGAGACGCAGGGAAAACGTCTGAGC